GGGAGGGGAGAGTGTGGATACATAACAGAAGAGTCTTTGATAAAGACCAAGGCAAATGAGGAAGAGGGGACTTGAGAAGAACTAGACCAGACAGTAGAGTCGTATAACCAGACAATATAGTAAAAGGAGAAGGGCGGCCGTAGAGGGAAAGGGAATCCATCCACAGCCTTGAAACTCACAGCCCACAGAGTACCTAAGAAGGCTAAACAGGGACCAAATGATTGCACGCACACCAACACAAACCCCAGCTTAGAAAACTAGACGAGGTGAAAACCGAGAAAACATTCAAGAAAGTTGTGGCTTGAAGTGCTATTGTTTAGTTCCGGGTCCAAACATGGCCATGATAAGGCTCCCCAGGGAACTGCCCATACTCAAGTAAAAAAAGGTGCACGACAAGATATTCAGCCCACACCTGACACTGTGCGACTTTGTCGAATGTAAGGCACGATATGTGGGATTTGCAGCTCAAGTAGAAGAGTACAACTATCTAACTAGGGGCGAGCCACCATTTGTAGCTACGTTAAGACTGTCCAATACACAAACTCGTATGTAGAATGAGATAAGAAAATAGAATAAAGTAGCGAACTGTGATTTGCTGCAAACGCGTGCAAATCACCAAGACCCATAACAGGAGATGACGATTGAAAAGCGAACGCTGTGGAGGCATTGTGAGAGATGATTTGTCTCTAGTTTTCACACTTCCTATGTGCGCCTGCTCCTCTAGGCAAGAGACACCACCTATGAGTAATACTGAGTTTTCTGCTTAGGAGTGACATGGTAGAGATCTATAGTAAAGAAGTAACTATATGATGAGTTGATGAGAAATGATGTGGTATCGTTGAGTGTGTGGGATTAAAGAAATGTGTATAGATTGTTTTTATTAATTGTTATTAACGGTTCACAACTTATTTATTGGTTGTTTCCAATTCTAGGTAAATGTTTTGGAATCACATAGCTATACCTCATCATCACTATTAAAGCAAAGATATGCGGTGGATTGTATCAAATTTAAGGCGGAAAGCTGCTTATTCTGATTATGTTTTGTATAATTGCAGAAAAACACTGAACTGCGAAGAGACGTCTTTCTATTCTTTCTTTGCACAGAGTTGAGCCACATGAGGTAAATAATTAGTATGCATAGTGGATAAATTGGTGAGCTAGTTTAAAATTGATATAAAAATCAATGAGTGTCTCTAGCATCAACACACACTCACTCACCTGGACAAGATATTAAATTATCAAAGCTCCTTTGTAAATGTTTTAGATAATCTTCGAAAAAAAAATAGGAATGTAATCACAGCAGAAAGTATCACTCATCTGGACATACTTGTTGTGAGTTTATTCAATAGATACAGTATTTTATTCATACTTGGAACTAATGATGGAGAGGGGTGGAGTAGGGGGATATAATTCCACCAGTGTAATCTGTACCTGGTACGTATAATTTTACAAATCTGGCTGACCCTATAGAATTATTGTACAAGATGGAGATAGTATAATATAAAAGATATTTCATTATTGTTTGTAAGATTTTGTTATTCTTCACTTAACCAGCAGATTGTGATGGATTGCTATTGACTGGTGAATATACACTTCAGCATCAAATTGAATTATATATATTAATTATTTATTATAATTATCGTTTATATTATTATCATTCTTACTTGTTTATTGTTAGTCATTTTATAGAAATAAATCATGTATTATTATTGTTATAGGTATTAATTATTATTATTTAAGCTATTAGTAATCTGTACGTATAGATATTGTGCATTTATCTTTGATAATTATGGCACTGTGGGACGTGATGGTTTTATTGTATGGGAATATATTGGTGTATATACCTAACTATAAACCTTATTACTTCGATGCAATTATTAATGTTTGATTCATTAAATTTTTAAATTACTTTATTAGAGTAGCAAATTGGCTAAACTGAGTAGACGACTATTTATTATTGTGAGTAGTCAAGCTATGATCTCATAGATTGAGCATTTGGATGATCTCCTCTCTCTGGCTGACTCCGGGGTGTTTGATTTTCTCTCTCATAACGCCACATGTTCTATACTCTTCTCTCACATAGAGGGACAGCCCGCTTGCGCCTCCCCCCTCTCTTTTTCCTCGCCATCCCCACCGCACACATCCAGCCTCTGCTCAGATCCTGACTGCGATTCATGATTCGAGATCCTCTCTAGATCTCATCATCTCGGCTCTCTCAATGATGATACGTACCAGGTTCGATTCTCTCAGGTTGGCTGATAGGCAGTATTTATCTCCTCTCTCTCCATTCAGGTATACATCATATGAAAGAGTCCAGATTAAAAAAAATAAATTAAAACCAAATTGATGGCTGTGGTGACGTAGGAAGGGTTGTTGATGCTAATGTTAAATTGAGCTCGAGTGAATGCTTTACAAATACAGACCAAGTTGAGGTGAAGATTAAGATCTGAGATAATGACAGATATCTTAAGTTCCGATTCCCAGGGGGTGTTTAACATGT